CATAACTCTTGAGACCATTCCAGCCAATATCACAAAGTTAATGCACGGTGACAAAACGATCTTCGTCACTCCCTCTTCTCCAGTTCAATGTTGTGAACATTAAAGGCCCCTTTACACTTGCGATTTTCGTCTTTTGATGGATGTGAACGAGTGGATGAGTTATGAATGTCCAGATGAAGGTAGATCATAGATATAGGAGATCTAGATTGCTAACGCATACCTAGCGCAGGCGGGGCCTACATGATAAATCCAAGATGGTGGTACAACAGGGCAAAAAGACTATAGATTCTATTACGAAAATCAGGATTTTTGCATTTTTTGCCGTCGCATTGTTTTGAAACTTATTCGATCAAATTTTATGGTAAAGAGAAACTTACCGCGAAGATTTTGAGCATATATATGATTGAATTGGATGAAAAATCGCAAAATTATCCAGCGATAAAAGTTCGTGTGAAATGGTCAGTTGGTCATTTGGAGCGTTTTATCGCCCGAAATACTGTGCTATGTTAATGTGAATGATGTTTTATATTTGCATCTCTCATCATCATCTGTTCTGTCCTCATAATTATGAAAAATGAATTGTTATGTACCCCCCCCCCCTTGCTTGTTAGAGAAGTAAACTGATGAGAGCACTGGATGAGGGTCTATCATCTATGGTCTGTTATAATTTGCTTTTTATGCAAATAGTGAGCAAAAATTAAAGAAAAACTGTACAAGTTACATATATAGTACTATATCAGTACTATACACGAACTTTTATCGATGGATAATTTTGCGAGTTTTCATCCAATTCAATCATATATATGCTCAAAATCTTCGCGGTAAGTTTCTCTTTACCATAAAATTTGACCGAATAAGTTTCAAAACAATGCGACGGCAAAAAATGCAAAAATCCTGATTTTCGTAATAGAATTTATAGTCTTTTTGCCCGGTTGTATCGCCATCTTGGATTTATCATGTAGGCCCCGCCTGCGCTAGGTATGCGTTAGCAATCTAGATCTTCTATATCTATGAGGTAGACATACTCAGAAAATTTATAACTCATCTACTCGTTCACATTCATCAAAAGACGAAAATAGCACCTTTATAAAATCATGATTCAACATGGATTTTATCACAAGGGGTATGCGAGTTTTGTATAGAGAGAAAAGTAGTTTCGACCTCTTCTGCAAGACCTCTGAAAACCGCGTCAAGTGATGAGAGCTTCCTGATTAAAGGAACTCTTATTATCAATCAGTTATACGTCCAAGATTGAACTATAGGGTTAGATGTCGAAAAATTCTAGATTTGTATAAAACACTGTTTAACACTGTTGTTTCATTTAACACTGTAAAACGGTGTCTTACGACGTCCTGCCCTGCCCCTACAGAGATGCCTTCGCAGGAGGCTAGCGCCGAAGTTAAGATTTAAGCCTTGCTCAAACGAGAGTTGATGAGAGTTGATAAGCGAGAGTTTGCATGAGAGTTTTCTCAACTCTCATGCCCCGGTCAAACGAGAACAAGAGTTGCATGAGAGTTGATGAGAGTTGAGAAGCGAGAGTTTGCATGAGAGTTTTCTCAACTCTCATACCCCGGTCAAACGAGAACAAGAGTTGCATGAAAGTTGATAAAAGTTGAGAAGCGAGAATTTGCATGAGAGTTTTCTCAACTCTCGTGTCCCGGTCAAACGAGAACAAGAGTTACATAAGAGTTGATGAGAGTTGAGAAGCGAGAGTTTGCATGAGAGTTTTCTCAACTCTCGTACTCTGGTCAAACGAGAACAAGAGTTGCATGAGAGTTGATGAGAGTTGAGAAGCGAGAGTTTGCATGAGAGTTTTCTCAACTCTCGTACTGAGAGTTGATGAGAGTTGAGAAGCGAGAGTTTGCATGAGAGTTTTCTCAACTCTCGTGCCCCGGTCAAACGAGAACAAGAGTTGCATGAGAGTTGATGAGAGTTGAGAAGCGAGAGTTTGCATGAGAGTTTTCTCAACTCTCGTACTCTGGTCAAACGAGAACAAGAGTTGCATGAGAGTTGATGAGAGTTGAGAAGCGAGAGTTTGCATGAGAGTTTTCTCAACTCTCGTACTCTGGTCAAACGAGAACAAAAGTTGCATGAGAGTTGATGAGAGTTGAGAAGCGAGAGTTTGGATGAGAGTTTTCTCAACTCTCATGCCCCGTTCAAACGAGAACGAGAGTTGCATCACTTGCATGAGCGTTGACTGGATATTACCACGCGATAGCGAGAACTCTCATCAAAATGTGAACCATGAAAGATATGTAGACCAAATAACTCAAAATGTTATAGCGCTTCTAAATATTTGGAAAATTTAAACTATAGGATCAAAGTTATCGGTCAGTGAAAATCGAAAAATCGCGTCGCGTTGTCGAATCGCGTCCTTAAATCATTAAATGCAGCAGAATTTGGAGCGACAAAAGTTCGGCAAAAAGTCCGACGCATTATGCGACGTTGGAGTGATATTGTATAATACGCCGCTGCCAAACGTATACTCGTTTTTTTTTTCTTTAACTTGTTAAAATTAGAATTTCTACTTATTTGTTTTGAATTTGCGCGAATGCATCCCATACTTGTCAATAAGACAATAACATTGGTTTGTCAAGACCCTTAATCGACAGTTTCTAATCTAAGGTTTATTTTAAACGTCACGCTTATCATGCGCCGGATCCAATTCAAATGATTTCGCTCGTAAGTCGTAATAAAGGGCGACGTTTGGAATCAATTAATTTTTCGACGATTTTAATTAAGTTCCGACACCAATGTTAACATACGTTCAAGAGTTCCAAATGTACTAGGAGAGTCTAGGAACCCCTTTAGCTATATAGCAGGCTGGCGATAGCTATCAATATAGGTAGCCTTCATCGAGACTGTTCCATGTGCACTGAATTGTAGCATGACGAAACTATCACCCCAGCTTTGCACTTACATTTGCAAGCTTCGATATACTTATCTCATACCGCATATGAACCTGGCTTATCTGTATACCTGTGCGCCGGCATTTCAAATATTCTTTTTTAATTGTGCCTGCCCGTTTTTCCCATGCAAGCAAGTTCCCATAAAGCGTCACCATATACGTTTGCCAGAAAAAATAGATTGCATGCTTTTTCATATCCAAAATAGAAATACGCGATTGTGCAATAAGATTCTGTTTTAAAACATTCCAATTAAACATGGCTGGGGACGAATACCTTGAACTTATAAGCTAACTTGAACATTACTTGTGTATCGTATTTTCGCTAGAGCAACCAATAGTTATGTTTTCATTTAACCATTGTCAGGGTTCTGCCCAGGATAATGATAGTGCCGGGTATTTGTATACATGAAATATTAGTAAACATGAAAATTATCGTCGCCATTTTGGAATTTCAAATTATTACAGTGGTAGATGCCAAAAAATTTATCGCAGACGCGATAATTTACTCGGAAACATAAATTTTATTTACAAATTTCAAAATGGCGACGATAATTTTCATGTTTACAAATCAGTTTCTGGCGTGTTTTTGTAGGAAGAGATTATTTCGCTGGCCTCAAAGTGACAAAACGTAACAAAGGAACGGTTTTACTAACACTACTTCAAACACCAACTCTAACCGTAACCCTAATCCTTACCCTAACTCCACTACAAATTTGTTTCTAAACCAATCTTGAATAAAAAAGTTTTGACAAAATGTCATTCTGAGGTCAGCGAAATAGTCGATGCCTTTTTGTGCTGGGCGGAAGAGTCCGTTTTGGTTTGGTGCTGAGTGGTACTATTAAGTGCTGGGCACTGCGGCCGCCCACCGTGGGCAGAACCCTGCATTGTGTAATATCACGAGTGGGTAATTAAACCAACACACTGCTATTGGTTGGTTGGGCGAAAAAACAATACACACGTGACGATGAACCGACCATAGATAATGAAGACTATTATGCAATGCATCGAGTTCCCTAACCTTCATATGGTTCTACTATATATGGCCAGTTATTTGTTAATTTTTATGCTAGGTTATATTGGGCCGGCGGCAATAGGCTAATCGCTCTTGCGGTTACCCTGCCAAAGATAGTGTAGCTATATTGTAATGTAAACCATTCGCGAAGCTAATAAGTAAAATTTAATATAGCATTCTGTGAACAATGTTAGTAAAATTTGGCTCCCTCTCTATTAACCCACACTCTATAAAGTCCTCCCTCTTCAACAAGCCCCCCTCCCCCAAAGGTGCCTGAAATAAATAAGCAGCAGTCGGGGGGGGGGGGGGGGG